CTGCTCCCGGAAGTGGGTACTGTTGTTTCCATCCAAGTTCAAAATGTTTTTCCTAGAAGGTCCTTATAAAGTTCTACTTTTCAGATTTTTTTTCATATTTTCTAAACTTATGGTTCAAAAAATTAGAGGGGGGGACACTTTGTTTTTTTACTTTTGGAGCGATTATTTCCGAAATTATTGACATTATCAAAAAATTACTATTAAACCCCTATTCGTTTTTAAATAACTTTCCAACAATATATCACACGTTAGGGTTTAAATTAAAAAAAAAATCACTTCCCACTTTACATATAGAGGGCTACCCTAATAAAACATTTTTTTCCAATTTTTATTTTACCACTTTGTCGGCGTGATTGATACACATATTGGTACCAAATTTCAGCTTTCTAGTGCTAACGGTCACAGAGATTAAGCGAGGACGGACAGACGGACAGACAGATATGGCGAAACTATAAGGGTTCCTAGTTGACTACGGAACCCTAAAAATTACTTAAATTATTGATTGCATGCATCTGTTGCTAAAGGCAACGCTCTAATCATTTGAGGATTACACTAATGGATAGATAATCAAAAAATATATGTTATTCACGTTTTATTTAATTTCTTGAGTTCGCTTTTCTTTTTTAATTGAGATAATTCCGAAATTTGGGTGTAATTTTTATGCGATATATTGTAGAGAGAGCGCGTGGATTATATAGAACTGAACGCTCAAGGTCGTTTGCTAGGGGTAATGCCTTAAAAAGCGTACGCTCTTTTCTTGAAGGTCGTATCGGTCCGGAAAAATCGCTGGTGGTAGTCGATTCCACAAGGAAGATAATTTAATTAAATTTAGAAACAAATTCAAAAAACAATCTGGTAAAAACTTGAGCAGGCATGTAGACAAAAGTCGGACAACAATGCGTACAAATAGAGCAATATCTACATTTATAGCTTCACGCTTCACCTTGTAAACCGGATACTAATTAATTCTGAACGTTGCAGGTATCTGTACAATGAAAGTATCTTTCAGGGTAATCTCATTAATCATAATACAATACATGACCTATAAAATATGAGACCTACTTCAATAATTATCGACATATTTCTTAAGGCCCGTTAAGGGTAAAATTTAATTTAAGAAAAATAGCACTACGCAACGAAACAAAAATCTATCAGACTATTTAGTTTGCAGTTCCTGTGTAGGACAGGAACAGTCATACTTTTTTGCTATCGGTGTTTTATGTTCTATCTAATGGCTACCAACATTCTGACTTAATCATTCACTGCCTCGGGTTTGAATCCAGGGTCGGGCCAAAAAATTCAGTAATAGAGTTTTTTGGTTAAGAAATTCCTAACGTACGTAAGGTAGAGTCGAATCAAATAGTATATAATAATTATGTTTAAGGTTCTATGATATTATCCGACAGTCGAGAAGCAGTGTTGCACAGATTAATTGGAGATGCCTATTATATATGTTACAGTCAAAACTCATAACCGGTCAAACCCCTTTTAACTGTAAAATCAGGCAAAAATGGTTTTGACCGATGCCCTTAGTCAAAAACAGTTTTGACTGATTTTTGTAGTTCGGTTATGAGTTAGGTTAGGTTAAGGTGTTTTTAGGTCGTTTCGTCCGGTTGTGAGTAGGTTAAGGTGCGGCATATAGTCTTGTCATACGAGTATACCAGTAAAAAGTAGTTTTGACCAAAGTCCTTAGTCAAAACTACTTATTCCTGATTTTTGCAGTCAAGTGGTTTTGACCGGTTATGAGTTTTGACTGTGACATATATAAACATGCCATTGATGCGCTCGTTTTCAGCCTTTAATAATTAGAATATTGGTAATAATGAATTCTGGTCACGGCGGACAGTCCCTACGGATACTAGCCATCTGCGCAGGACAGGATTATAGTGCCCAAGGCCAAGTGTATGTGCAAGTACAGATGCCCTCTCTGTTCCCTCACTCTCATAGTCCGATGGGACGGTAAGGAAAAGGTCCAGAATAAGTAATATAAAGGTTATAATATAAAGGCGAATGGCTTTAACTGATTGTCATTCATAAATATCTAACGTTTACTATTTTACTACGCACGCACACATTCGAAAGCGTCGCTCGGTCGGTAAAAACGTGAATTGAATCGCACAGAGGAGAGCGCGAACGCGTAGTTGCTGCCCATAAATCACATTCAATTTGGGATAACTTCAAATAAAAGTAGAAGATTTAAGTTCTCGTACATTTAAAAACTGCAGTAACGATATACCATTATTTATATATTTAAACTTAAATATAAAACTTGGATACTCTTAGAAAAATAACCCTGTTATTTTTTGCGTATTTAGATTTTGTCCTTGTATTCTTTCAGGTATTTTAGATGTACTGAATTCTCTTCCCGGCCCTACTGTCGATGAACTGCAAACATTGCAACCCCGTATGGCACGAAGGAATTCTGTTTCTAGCGACAACTCTTCCTCCCTCGAGAATCCAAGAGTGGTACTTGTATTCTTCATTGGAGGATGTACTTATCATGAAATATCTGCACTCAGAAGTATTAGCCATCAAGAGGACTCTAACGTTGAATATGTTGTGTTAACTACCAAATTAATTAATGGAAACACATTTATAGAATCGCTTATGGAGAATGAATAAATGTTATTTTATTGTATTTTTAATTTATATTGTGATTTTAAATTGTAACTGTCAAAGAAAGTTATAACTTATAAATTATGTGCAATTAAAATGTTACTGTGGTAAAGTTGGTTTTCTTTTAAAATGTTCTGCTGACCGATTTCAAACACAGCTAAAACTTCAAAATACAAGCGAAACTCTTCAACTACTATGAACTTTTAATTTATAGTGCGGCAATAAAGATGCATCACCAAAGGCTATATACTTTTTTATATTTTGATTATGAAGTGGCTAACAAACTTAGTCACATACCTGATGCTGTGGCTAGTAGTCCATGGACACCTGCAGCCAACTTCAGAGAATGCTACAGACACATGGTCACCTCTGAGAACTAATTACTACTAGTTATGCTGGCTCTACCCTTCAGAGCGGAACACAGCTGCTATTTAGCGACAGAAATAGGTAACCAAGTGGGACCTATGGACTCCCAGGCAAAAAAAAAACTAAGTGTTTATGCATAAATGTTGGCTGCTTTTGGGATTTGAAGCCATAATTTACAACTAAGTAGTCAAGTACTCTGATCATACTTGTCACTCCCTGTAATACTGCTGTCATTTACTATTAATATATTTTACTATATAGTAAAATTATGCATTAAGTATTTAAAATTTAATATTACATGTCATGTAGTGCAATCCATTGTTCGATATTTTGCGTGGGTTTCTTAGAGGCGACAGAGAGATACTTAGTCAAAAGATGAGCTGCCACATAATCCTGAGAACATAAAAAAAAAAAAACAAACTGCAGTTATAAGTAACCCTCTACCAAGCATGGCGTCTATGACAAATATTACCCAAATTATACATTTTTTTTAAATAATGGGTTTTTATATTTACGAGAACACTACACATCGAATAAAACTATTTATACGAATTTTATCAGATTAAATAATTTCTTTTTAATTCCAGACATTTCAAGTGCTTTACAGCACCCATGGTCACGGGGGAAATTAAAAACAAGTTAATTAAATGCGATAAAATTCATATAAGTAACATATTAATATATTATAATACTATATAATATTATTATTATATTATTATAATAATATATTCAATGATTTTTAGTTAAAAATGAGATCACTCTTGACCTCCATTTGGCCAGGGGGCAAAGATGAGGTCTACCATGGAGCGAGTTTGCCTCGGAGAACCCTGTTCACATGCAGCGTGATGAGATTGAGGTTATAAGCACTCGGGAAACAGACACCGGTAGGGATTCCTAGTCTGTGCGCATTATAGTAGACTTATAATAATTAATGCAAATATTCAGAATATCAACCAAATGTGGATGGTAACCTGCAGTATTTCCGGTAGTCTGAGGGCACACTCTCCAAAGTACAATCTATAGATTGACAAACAAGCAACTGGCGGCAGTGAGCTAAGCTGTGAAGCTTAGTTTCCACCAGCTTTTTGTCACTAATCAGTCTCTTGGCTCTCTTGAGGTCTATGCTTAGCAGTAGACTTGTAATGGGCTGGAACAATGATAAATTGATAATTAAAGTGAATACAAACCCCTTGTGGTTTCTAAATATAACAAAATAAAGTTTAAAATTCTCTAGCTACATTACCTACTGATTTGCCTATAATATCACTTTCTGTAAACAGTAGTAAACATCTTTATTCAGGATTATTTTTAACATCGTAATATTTATTATGAAGAGGAGCACATTGGGTTTGTTCCAAAATGTTTCCAGTATACTGGCGATTGCAAATGACGTCATTAATTGACGCCATATTCTACGATATTCGATAAAACGAATCACCAGTATGGCATCGATTTATGACGTCATTTGCATTGGCCAGTGTACTGGGTTGTATTTCGGAACATACCTTATATTTAAATCAGAAAATCCATGAAAAATTATATCTTTATTTTTTAAATTTTGGAACCAAAACTCTTGTGGAAACTTTGGAGTAGACTATTTATATTTGCTTTTTTTATTTTATCGCTTATCTTACCTAAGAATCATATTGCCACATTCTTAATTCGTGACAAAGCAAAACACTTACTTCAAATTTACTATAAAGAGTAAAGTAAATATGACTGCATTATTATATTGCCTTTGATGCCAAAATGGCACTATAATTCTATTATTAATAACATAATCATATCTATAAGACAAATAAATACCATCATAAAACTATGAAACCTTGGTTTATTAAAATTTCATATTCATTAACTTGCATATAATATAAATTTTAATTTGATCAGTTTTTAAATAAACTTACAAAAAATCTGCATGCTTACAATCTATATATTACAGTATTAAAGCTTTAGCATAATAAAAATAATTCTTTCATTTGACAGCATACATACTCAATGAAATTTGCAAGTGACTATTCTCATAAATATTCATTACTTGTATACTTTGTGATGTTTGATTTCTTTGGAGGTGTAACTTTCATACCAAACTTCTTTGCTAATGATACTAATTTCTCATTATCATAACCAACCTCTTCCTTGTAAACCCTTAGCATTAGCGGCATAACTGTTTCTAATAAAAACTTGAAATTCTTCTGAGCATAACTTGAATCATTTCCTACAGAGAGCGCAAGGCGACTGTTGAATACTGCATATATACACTCATCTAAAACATCCATCATATCCTTTGTTACAAGTTTTAAACCAATTTTCTGTATAGTTAATATGGACTGAGCAAACCATATAGTACTGCTAGATAAGTCAACCCAAGTTTCGTTTATTATGTACTTAGCTAATATAAGGCCCAAATTTTCCATCTGCAATAAAAATTTATTTACACCAGCTTTTGTATGCATATTAATAGGCGTCCACTTATCTTCAGATACTTTCATTTTCATTGAATCTACAATCTTCTCTTTATATTCTCTTAAAGCCTTTATGATTGGAGTTCTCAAGCAACTATTCATTTGGAACCTTAAATCTAGACCAAAGTCACAAAAAAGACTACATTGATCCCTTAAACTCTGAACACATTCTAAAACAGAGTCTAATGCACATTGTGGGGTAAACACTTGTTTTATAATTTGACTCATTAAAATCCTTAATTGCATACTAGCCCATACTATAAATGCACTTATTTTATTTTTAGGGAATAGAGTAATAAATTCAGTTAAGGCATCACTTAATGAGCAAAAAAAATACTTCCCCCACTTGATTAACATAACTATGAATTGAACCTTCCAATTGCACTCCTTTAACATGAGCCTTAACAGTATGACTACAAATTTCTAGAAATAGCTCACAGGCTTGACTGGTCATATTAAACTTATTGAGTATTAGTACAGGATGTCTTGAAGATCTCAGGCCTCCCCTCGGACTCCAATTATGGCTTACATCCAGTTCTTTAAGTAATATCTCCGTTAAAGCTTTTTGTTTCTGCTCTATTCTTTTCAAAATATCAGCTCTTTGAGGATGATTTTTAAATTCTTCACTGTTTAAAGTTTTCTGAGCTGAAACCATTAGTTCGTAGGTTCTTTGGAAATGTCTTTCAACAATTAACACATCTAACTCTTCTGTAACATCTGACAACCAATCTGGTAACGGAGTCACCTGTGGTGATGGAAGCTCCTCAACTGAGAGACTTGGGGAATCTAGGGACTCAGTTCTAGGTTTATCTTGGCTTTCCTTTTTCTTCTGCTTAGAGGTTTCTTTTTCAATGTGCATTTTTTTAGCCACATCAAATTTATCTAACCAGTCTTTTTTAATAGCCAAACTATTACACTGAAATACTCTAGTATCTGGAAATGCTAGAACTTTAAATGCTTGTTTAACAGTACCCAAATCTCGCACATTCACTACTGCTAGAGTGCTAATAGGGTAACTTGTTTGAAACTTATATCTCATAGGGCCTCTACGGTTTGAAATCCATGAGCTTAACATTAGACTGTCATTAAATAAATATACATGCATTCTCTGTAAGGCAGTGTTTTCTTCTGCGTCAATTTCTAGTAAATCACCTTCATGAAGTAATGTTCTATCCGGTACATCTAAAAGATTCATACAACCTTCCACTTTTTCTGTTATAAGATTAAGTTTATTCTTACGCTGTTCTTCAGCCCTGTCAGCCTCCAAATCATGGTTGTCAAGTGACTCCCGTGAAATCGTATTATCATTACCTAAAATAGACGCTTGGGATAACGTTGTAAGCACTGTACGCTGTTCACTTAGCAAGTGAGACAGTTTATACATTTCAGCTTCTAGGTGAGAAATCTCCGTAGCCGTCTCAATAAATTGCATGTAGTTCTCGTAAACATTTTTCTTAAGAGCATTGGCGGTCTCTTCAGCCAATGTTTGAATTTTTTCCTTTTGCTGCTGCAACTCCTCCCCTCCGACGCAGGATTTCGCTAACTCTTTTACATAGCGATCAGGAACAAACTCTGGCACCGCAAACTTCTCCATGTTTATATCGGACATCGTTTCACATTAATATTTACTATATAGGGGAGTAACAATTTGTAAAAAACACCGATTCGCTCATCATTCGGTAATCGAACGACAGGACGTTTCTATCAAAAATCATCAACCCACCAAATGTCAAAACTACGTTCCGTTTGAGGTTGAGGTTCCGTTTTCAGTAAAAAAATTATAAGATTTTTCTTTTGGATGCTTATCTTTTAAGCCATTTCTTCGTTTCATTCGGGACCTTCGTTTTATAGACTTTTTCTTCACAATATGCTGATGCGTCACATTGCGAAGTTTGTAGGAGATTTTGACGACAGCTCAACCCAGCGGACAGTTGATGACGACAGTCACTCAAGTTCATAAGGGCCTAAGCGATCAAAATAACTTGAGGTTTATATCAATATCGAACCATTTGTTTCGTCGTTTAACTTTTAATAGTTCACATACGCAAACACTTTATACGCAGAATCCCATCACTTTTACGTATCAAAATCCACTTCAAACTATTATTTAAATGATAAAACAAGAGCAACAATCCGTCGACTGTTAAGTTCTCGCGAAAACTCCATATCCACTCCATATCTCTAGTATATACACAGTAATCTATGACTCCATAGTATAATAAATTAGTACAGAGAAACCTGTAGACTAATGATCGGCGTGGCCTCGAGTGAGAAAGGACGATAATGAATTTTTAGGTTATACAATAATCTTTATGACTTTTAAACACATTTAAATAAAAATTTTAATTGTTCTAAGAACTTAACTGAACAAGATTCACCAATCCTAAGCTCACAAAACACTTTTGTCTCACTTAAACCAACTTGTAAACTCCTTGAATCGCTACGGTGTTAAAGTTGTTTAGCAAACTGTTAAAGTTAAAAGTTAAAGTTAGCCTATATACGTCCCACTGCTGGGCTCAGGCCTCCCCTCATTTCTGAGAGGGTTTTAGGGCAAGGAAGTGTCCGCCGCGCTGCCCAAATGCGTGTTGACGAACTTCACATGTCTTCGAAATATTTTTTTTTATTTCTTATTCCTCAGACATGCAGGTTTCCTCACGATGTTTTCCTTCACCGCCGAGCACGTGGTAAATCAGCACTTAAAATTGCAATTAACAATTTCATTGGTGCCGGCGGGGATCGAACCCGGGTTACTCGCGTTCTGTTATATTTACAGCGAGCGTTAACCACTGAGCTACCACGGCTCTAGCAAACTGTAGAGTTTGCTAAACAAAAAAACCGGCACGGAGAAAGGGACAAACAATCACACCGCTCTATCTCATTTCTATGCAAGACGTATGCATAAATCTATCTTTTTCGTGTGCGAATGCGAAAGAAGGTGTCAATTTGTCTATAGGTTTCTCTGTCTACGAATTAGGTATTAACCACAGACAATCAATAAATTGTATGAGTGGTATTAACAGATTAGCATAATTTATTACAAAGAAAAGTTTTTACAATGTACGTCATAAGATTGCAATTATTAGTATTTTGGTATCCAGTTTTTTTTATTTAAATTAGGTTCTATCTTTGTAGCTGATTTTAATACCAACCATGCAATGTCCTTTGAATAGAATAGTTCACTGAATGGGAAAAGATTTCCACGTGGTAGAGCCACACTGCAGCTATATTATAATTGTAACACATAGGGGTTGACTCGACCGGGGAGGACCACGCTCCCACAAAATATCAGCGTAAAATAGAGCACTTTTAGACTGATGAGGATAATCGATAAGTTATTTGAATCATTCTAAATAAGTTTAGAGCATTCTAAATAATTCTCGAATATTTTTGAACAGTCGAAAATGGTTGCGCCAACGCACACCATTATCCGTTAAATCGTTAAATCCGTGTAAGAAGTACAACTCGGACTCGCAAATTCGGAGCACATTGGTAGAATTGGTGAGAAACTAGTTAGCCTTCCTTCGAGAACTTTCTTATCCCTCGGCAAGACTGCCCAAAGAGATTTCTGTAAACCAACATTACCATCTTTGCGCAAGAAGAATGACTTGGCCACGCCGCAAGTAAAAAAGCTGATCTTCTAGGGCCTCTTATTGCGTCCAACTCTAAGTCTCGGCGACAGGGGGATTGTACCGCCGACCATCCCGCGCTCCATGCTGGATGTTCTGTTTATACAGCGCTCGGTGCGCAAAACACTCTTGTCCTGGACGTCCAAAAGTCGACTCTCCTAAATTGTGGTAAAGACGAGTGCTCCAGAGTTGGAATCGTTTCTATCACATCTTTTCCGGTTCTCTTACTATATATTTAGGCTCATGGAATACAAGCCTCAGTGTACACGATGCCTAAAAAACCGACCAAGAGCGTGTCGGGCCACGCTCAGTGTAGGGTTCCGTAGTTTCCCGTCCGTCACAATAAGTGTTCCCACTTATGAGTTTAAAGGTGGGTATCCATTATGTTCGCGCTCCAGCAGCGCTCCGCGCTCCTGCAACTGCTCCCGGTAGTTGTTGTTGTTCCCATCCAAGTTCAAAATGATTTTCCTAGAAAGTCCTTATAAATTTCTACTTTTCAGATTTTTTTCATGTTTTCTAAACTTATGGTTAAAAAGTTAGAGGGGGGAGGGGTGGACACACTTTGTTTTTTACTTTTGTAGCGATTATTTCCGAAATTATTGACATTATCTAAAAATGATTTTAGTAAACCTCTTTTCATTTTTAAAAACCTTACCAACAATATATCACACGTTAGGGTTGAAATTAAAAAAATCACTTCCCACTTTACATATTGGGGGGCTACCCTAATAAAACATTATTTCCAATTTTTATTTTACCACTTTGTCGGCGTCATTGATACACATATTGGTACCAAATTTTTCAGCTTTCTAGTGCTAACGGTCACAGAGATTAAGCGAGGACGGACAGACGGACAGACAGACATGGCGAAACTCTAAGGGTTCCTAGTTGACTACGGAACCCTAAAAAGGTGACCGCTCTTACCCGTCTTATAAATAATTATATAATTACAGGCCTATCGCTATTACGTCTTTGTTTTCCAAAGTGATGGAATCCATTATTAACTGCAAACTCATGCGGGCAATATGGTTTCCGTCGATGTCGCTCAGTTGGTGGTCTTTTTGTCTACCCAATTTACCGATAACCGATGGGCGGAGATAGTGGAGACCAAGAGGGAGGCCATAGTGGTTAGTTTGGACATAGCGAAGGCCCTGCTCCAACTCCACACACAACAGCACACACAAAACTGTGGATGGTGGTGATCCACAAGTCTGCGTGCTACTTGTGTTGCATACAAGTAATATTCATTGTTTTTCAGACGACAGTACTGGCGATGCTTTATACACCGGCCGTGCTAATATTTCTCGGGAACACGTCGTTGAGTGTCGTAACAAACTTGTATCTTAACTCGAGGCTTTGTTGAACAAAGTCTCGGAATGGCAGTAACTAAAGTTTAATCTCTAAAAGACAGGTTTGCGCATTTACTGCAGCTGGTTACACTTTGTTGTATCTCCTCGATTTCAGGGCACTCCCCTCGTTACCTCAGCCAGCATCGGAATTCGTAGCGTTGACATTTCGAGAGACCTACAGTTTTGTAGACACTTGGAAGGGAAGGCTAAGCTAGCATCAAACTTGGAGTGCTCAGTAGATCAAGACGAGATTTCATGTCGGTATACCGCAGATTTTGTCTCATATAGAATACTGTTCTAATCTCTGGGCTGGGGCATCCCAGTATCAACTTATTAATTTTAGCTGCTGAATTACACCATCGTACATCGTACACTGCCTGAGAAAACGAAATTCCATCCTCATTATCTCGAGGGCTGGCGATCTACTACTGTCCGATTTACGCAGAATATCCTGCTTCGTTTAAACTGTGAAATATACTGTCGCCTGCAGTTTTTTCGGACCCATATGACAATCTCATGCCCGTAAAGAAAAAGGAACCATGTTATAGTTATCTAAAAAACATGCGAGAAATTTATCAAATCAATTGCATCAAACAAGCAATACATCAAATGCGTGAAACGGAATTAATGACAATTACGTGGAATGGAGCACCATAAGGCGTGCGAGCCATAGATCTAAATCTATGGCGCAAGCGATTAGTTCGTCGCCACAGATTAGTAAATAGTTTACCACCAGATACATCACTCCCATATAAAAGCGAAAATACCTACGCTATAATAGCCTACAAAATCTTAATAATAATATCTGCAGTTCGCAGCGAGAAGAAAATGTACCATAAGTACGCGATTAAAGAGTCGAGATTGTGTTACTCGCCGTGCGACTCGCGTGCAAGCGCGTCATCACACGAATGCGCTAGGGTTGTACATATTAATATTATGATTATTGTAATAAAACGAATGTTGCGAAATATACGTATGTATTTTTTATTTAAATGATAGTAGTTTTTACGGATTTTATCGCGTATAATTTAAATTTTTAAACACCCGACGTTTCGAGCACTTTACAGCACCCATGGTCACGGGGAGGACTGAGATTGAGATGTTCAACATAGAGGAAAGTAATATATCGCGTACAGATGTCATAGTTAACCGCGGATACCATAGATTAAAATTTAAATTTTGTTCCGATCTACACAGTATGAATTTATGGTATCTTGAAGTCTTGCAGTTGTATGCTTGGGTTGGGATTTCATTTTATTTATTATAGGGTCCCAAGCAGATGGTAGCACCCAGCCATCTTCACTATTTTTTTTTTTTTATTTGTTAATCAAATAAATATGTTTGAGTTTTAAAAACTGATTTATACATTTTTTCCTTGTCTAAAATCTCTATTGTTAAATTTAATCGTTGAAAATATCCTAAATCGCGTAAATAATGTTAATAAATAATCACGAGGAAAACAGGAGCAAAGCGGAGGAAAATTAATGTTTTGAAACACACGGGCCCGGGCCGATTCATTATGACGTTGTCAAAATTATTTAAAAATGCTCTTTCCAATTCTTCAATATAATTATTAAACGTTTCTGTCGGGACTTTTAGCCCACCATAAAAAGATGACTCTTTATTATAGGCTT